TCTTTTCAAGATAATTTTGAAGATCACCATCATTAGCATATTGCATTATAAGAAGATAATCATTATTATCTATAAAAATGGATTTTTATAATATTTAATATAACAATTATAATTTAAAAATAGATTAATGATAAATTTACCTTTACTAATACCAAAACAATGAATAATTCGATCACTATAATCAAGATGCAAATGGATTTGCAATTCATGAATAAAAGCATGTAACATATCACCATTAATAGAATTTATATTAGTTAACTTTTTATAAATAATACAAGTTCCTGTTTTAATCCAAGTTGCTTTCATAATACTTCCAAATCCTCCAGTAGTCAATTGTGTAGAATTAATTAATTGATTAAATGGTATAAATTTAACCTTTTCAGTTGTTAATGCATTTTCTATCCATTTAGCAGCATCGCTCTTTTGAAAATCATCATGAAAATTATTATTTTCTATTACTTTAAATTAATAAAATTAAAAAAAATTATTTTTTATTATTTGTTTTAAATTTTTTATATGAATTATAATTTTTTAAAAAATTTATTTTGATTATAATATTTAATTGTTTATTTAATATTAAATAATAAATCTCAGAATATTTTATAATTAAGCATATTAATTAATAAAAATAATTACCAACTATTATATTATTAATTATTAATAATTTTTATAAATAAAAATTTAGTTAAGCTTAATTATAATAAAAATATAATTAAATAATAATAATCAATACAAATAACTTATTTTCTAAATTATTTTATATTTTGTTTAATAATTTAGTCAAGTATAAATTGAAGTAATTAAATACTGAATATCAATATAAATGGCTTACGTTCTAAATTATTATATATTTTTTAAAATAAAAATTTAGTTATATTTAAATTACAGTAAAAGTATAATTAAATACTAATAATTAATAGAGTAACTTACCAACTATTTATTTTAATTTTTAATTATTTTTTAAATAAAATTTAGTTGTGTTAAATTATAGTAAAAAGTATAATTAAATACTAATAATTATTAAAATAACTTACGAACTATTTATTTTATTAATTAAATAAAAAATTAAGCTAAATTAGATTATAATAAAAAGTATAATACAATATACAAATAGCTTATATTCCTTACATTCTAAATTATTATATATTATTTTTAAATAAAAATTTAGTTGAAAATAAATAATAGCAAAATTAATACAAATAACTTACTTTCAATTATATTATTAACATTGATTATTAATTATTTTTTAAATAAAAATTAAGTTAAGTTTACATTCCAGTAAAATGAATAATTAAATAATAATAATTAATTAATACAAATAACATACCAACTATTTATTTATTAATTTTTTAATATTTTTAAATAAAAATTTAGTTGAGTTTAAATTACAGTAAAAAGATAAATTAAATATTGATAATCAATATAAATAACTTACGTCCTTTAGTATTATTTTGATTTTAAATAAAAAGTTTGAGTTTAAATTACAATAAAAGTATAATTAAATAATAATAATTAATAAAAATAACTTACTCCTTTTAGTATTTTTTTGATTTTAAATAAAAATTTAATTGAGTTTAATTATAATAAAAAGTATAACCAAATATTGATAATCAATAAAAATAACTTACAAACTAAAATTTTAATTATATTTTTAAATAAAAATTTAGTTGAGTTTAAATTACATTACAGTAAAAAGAATAATTAAATACTAATAATTAATAAAATTAACTTACTTCCTTTAGTAGTATTTTTGATTTTTAAATAAAAAGTTCAATTGTTTTTAAATTACTGTAAATAGTATAATTAAATACTAATAATCAATAAAAATAACTTACCTCCTTTAGTAGTTTTTTTTTGATTTTAAATAAAAAATTAAGTTGAATTTAAAGTATAAATAAAAAGTATAATTAAATACTTATAATCAATAAAAATAGCTTACTTCCTTTAATAGTATTTTTGATAGTTAAATAAAAAGTTTAATTGAGTTTAAATTACAATAAAAATTATAATTAAATATTGATAATAAATAAAAATAACTTACTATCTAAAAGTCAATTATTATTGCAATAAAAGTTTAGTTAAGTATAAACTATAGTAAAAAGTATAATTAAATATTAATAATCAATAAAAATAACTTACTCTCTTTAGTAGTATTTTTGATTTTTAAATAAAAATTTAGTTGAGTTTAATTATAGAAAAAGTATAAATAAATACTAATAATCAATACAAATGACTTACGTTCTATATAATTATAAATTTTTAAATAAAAAATTTACAGTAAAAGTATAATTAAATACATTATATTAAAAAAATAAAGTTAAATATAATAATTAATAAAATAGCCTACCACCTTTAGTAATATTTTTAGTTTAAATAAAAAATTTAGTTGTTTACAATATAGTAAATTATATAATTAAATAATGATAATTAATAAAATAACTTACGTTCTATATGGTTATATATATATGTTAAATAAAAAATTCTCCTAAGTATAAATTATAGTAAAAGTATAATTAAATACTAATAATTAATACAAAAAACTTACTTCTTATTATATTATTAATTACTAATTATTTTTTAAATAAAATTTAGTGAAATTTAAATCATAGTAAAAATTATAATTAAATATTAATAATTAATAAAAATAACTTACTTTCTTTAGTAGTAATTTTTTATTTTTAAATAAAAAGTTTAGTTGTGTTGAAATTATAGTAAAAAGTATAATGAAATATTGATAATCAAAAAAAATAACTTACCTCCTTTAGTATTTTTTTTGATTTTAAATAAAAAATTAGTTGAGTTTAAATTATAGCAAAATGTAAAATTAAATATTATAATTAATAAAATAACTTACTATCTAAAAAATAATTATTTTTTTAAATAAAATATTTAGTTGAGTATAAATTACAGTAAAAAGTTTAATTAAATACTAATACAAATAACTTACTTTCTATTATATTATTAATTATTAATTATTTTTAAATAAATATTTAGATAAGTTTGAATTACAGTAAAAGTATAATTAAATGCTAATAATTAATAAAATAACTTACTTCCTATTATATTATTAAATAAAAATTTAGTTGAGTTTAAATTACGGTAAAATGTATTAGTATTTGTTTTTTAAATAAAATTTGTTTTAAGTTTCAAAATTTTAGTTTTATATAAGCTTGTTTTAAATATGCTAAACTTCAAATTTACCAACTTCATCGACTTTCTTTTCATTATCAGACATCGTTAAAATTAAAAAAAAAAAAAAAATTGGTATTTTTTTTATTGTAATTAGTAGTACAATCAATACCAATTCGGTTTCACACAAAAAAAAAAAATTTTTAATCACACGTGACATCATATTTGGACGACCGAATAATAAACATGATAGAATTAAAGTAATATAAACAAAATTAATGTTTGTATTATATATTATCAATTTATGTGCACGGTATAGATTGACAAATCATATAATAAAGTACAATTATTAAATATTGGTAATCCATCTATTGAATTTAAAGAAATCTCTTGAAGAGGTGTTAAGTTCAGTCAAAGAAACAAAATAACACGAAATTCTTCAAATTCCATAGTCAAGCTTTTGGTAGATTTTCAGTAGTTTTTATTTTTGCTTTTTCACGATAATGAGCTTTTTTTGGGCAATAATAGAATCGTAATAAATTAAACTAGCTGCTGTATGAAAGCTTGGAAAGGGAATATTAGTTGCAGAAGCACTTCTCCTATATTTTTTACTCAAAGTTAAAGTGAAAGAGAAGGAAAAAAATAAATGAAAAAAAGGTGAATTGGAAAAAAAGAAAAAAATTGGAAAGCATAACGCTAAAAAAAGATGATATTCATAATTAAAAAAAAGTTGGTGAATGTTAAGATAAAACAGTACAGTTAACAGTTCCCCGTGAAATTATAAATATTTACCGTCCGTTTTAAATTCTTACAGATAAATATATAATTTTCGGTACCTTACCAACTCGGTTCAATTTTAACCAATTATTAACCGGTTAAGGATTTTGGGTCAGTTCCAACCTCTACAACGAGGCTAACATGTCCCATAGATATGATGGTGAAAATCAAAATTACTACGCAAAAACTAACATAAATCAATATTCCTCAGATTTAAATAGTATCGATCATATGAGAATATAACAATTTTTAAACGAATGCTTCTTCGCAGCAATAGATATTTTTCTTTTTGGTATATTTTTGTCATTTTTGAGAATTTTTAGAAAATTCAATTATGCAATAAATCGAGTTATTGATATTTATTAAATAATCAAATCTTGTGCAGCGCATGAAATCTCGAGACTTTATGGAGAAATACATTTGAAGAATGCTATATCTATTAAAGTAAGTGAACTTAATCAGAGAAAAATTATTTATTAGCAAAATCGGACAATTGAGTTTATAATTTTGAAAAGTTATGTAGTTATCCTTTTATAGTTTTATTTGTTTTCATATGTTTGAATTGATAATTAGCGTTAACAAGAAAAAATTTTCGTTAAATAACAAGTGACTTTAATATATAATCACATGATTTATAGCTAAATTTTAAATAAAAGCAAGCGACTCATATGATTTTGCAATATTTAGAAAATATTAAAAGACAAGACTGAAACTTAAATAAATCATCATATTTTTTTTATTAGGAAACACCAGCGGTATACATGTATTGATTTTGTAATTGTATTTGTTTTAGTGGTTGATGGTAATCACTCATAGAATAGTTTCTTTGATAAATGTTTGCTTTGCTATATGAGGAGGAATTGTTTATATAATTTTCCTTACGAATCAATCAATCAGTCATCATTAACAGGTCTGCTTTTCGTTTCCTAAAACATTTCTTGGATAATAAAATTCTAATGTTCAACTCTCCCAATTATAGTTTAATTCATATCAACTTGGATTTTTATGGATATATTATTGCCGAAAATGTTAATATTTTGATTGTCATTTATTTATTAATCTTTGATAAATTTACCAGGTCGGGGTCTTTCTATAACATTTATTACATTTATTGTATAATATTTGAATTTTATTTAAAGATATTTGTACTGTATATTGAAATTAATCCTAATTTAAATTCAACCTTTGAGCACTGCACATGCAAGCACAAGGTAACATTAACAAATGAATTTCCTGATCGAATGATATAAGTAGTTTCAATAACTTACCTTTTTAAAAATCTGTACATCCCTTTTAAAATATATATATAATAATTATATATAATATATTTTTAATAATGAAACTAAATTATGTAAGCGAAATTAATTATATGCTCAAATTTTAGCACATTTTTCCTACAAAATTCATATAATATTTTATAATGAGAAAATTTATGTACTAGCCGATATCGATATTGTTTTTGTACGATTATTTACCAAATTAAATAGTATTATTATCTGCCATACCAAGTTCAATTTGAATTCCAAGAAGGGATTTAAATGTCAGTTTTTTATCGATTACATTTTTTTTAAGAAAATAATTAATTTAATTTAGAAATATTGAATTTAATACGTTCATATATGTATGGCGTGTAGTATATGTATGCTGTGTTCATACAGTACATACATGTACATACTACATGTGACCATACTTTAACTTACTACAATACTGTCAAAGGAATAATTTTTTTCTGTACAATTTATCATATGATATATTTTGTAATAACTGCATAAAGACTATAAATTTCATATACTCTTGTACAAATTCTGTACGAAACTGAAAATTTATCTCTAGAAAAAAAAATAAATATATAAAAATAAAAATAAAATTACGACTAGTTTGGTTAATTTAAATCCAAGAATTTTCCATTTTCCAATATATATCTAAAAATATATTATTACAAATTACGAATACGTCATGTTTAGTGCATCATTTCGAAATTTGTGACACAAGAATTTTACAATGATATAAATACTACAGAAAAGAAAAGTATAGAACCGTTTGGCTTTTTCAATAATCTTTTCAATTATTGAAACTATTGAGGAAGATCATTCCTAAATAAAATGGTTTTTTTTTTTTCGCTGCAAAAAAAAGCTCATTTACGACTTTAAAAGGAATATTTGGTCATATATGCAGCAACATCTTGTGACACCAAAATTGATCAAACTTTTATATAATAGCACCACGGCATAGATTATGATACACACGACTTTAAAGTTCCTTCTGTAAAGCTACAAGGACGTTACATTCTTTATCATGAATCTCAAGATTTTAAAGATGTTTCTAAAATCGATTCTGGAGGTTATGCTGCGGTTTATCTTGCGCATTGGAAAATCACTAAAACAAAACTTGCAATTAAAAAATTTGTCGAAAATTCTACGAAGGAAATCATTTTAAACGAGGTTTAATATTTGCATACATATTTTTGTTAATATATATATTGTTATTTCGATTAAAATACTCTTTTATAGATTCATATAATGGAAATTATGAGAAGAAAAGTTAATTTTCATCCAAATATAATAAGATTTTTTGGAATTACGAAATTAAAAGGTAAAATAATTATTATGTAATGATTTTATTAAAATTATGCTCACGATTTTTTTGTGCTTTTAGAGGAATTAAATTATGCGCTTATTCTTGAATATGCGGATGGCGGAACATTAGGAAAATATTTAAGAGACAACGCTAAAACGTTTAAATGGAAACGTCAATTGGAATTTGCCAACGACATGGCGAGTGCGATTTTATGGTTACACGACAATGAAATTATACATCGGGATCTTGTAAGTTAATTACTGTAATTATTTCCAGAAGACAATAAATTCCTACGCACTATGAAAAATTTGAAGTCACGGGGTTTCTCTCACGTGAAATAGCTGGCTATAAAAATATTTTTTCTTAAGGATTCCATTTCATTGTTACTTATATTATTTTAATTTATATTTTTTGTTTATCTATTTTTAGCATTCCAATAATATCTTGATCCATAAAGGTGCAATAAAAATATCAGATTTTGGATGTTCATGTTTACAAGGATCAGATACCAAAGCAGCATGTGGTGTGATACCTTACATGGAGCCCAAAACTTTTAAAGATCCTTTATTTAAATTAACCAAAAAATCTGATATTTATAGCTTAGGAGTATTGTTCTGGGAATTGACAAGTTGTGCATCACCTTTCAATTTTGAATCAACTGTCGATATTGCAATTCGGTTTGAAATCCTTGAAGGCTTAAGAGAAAATTCTATTCCAACCACTAATAGTAGTTTTGTTAAAATTTATAAAAGTAAGTTTCATTTTACTTTTGTTATTGTTTAATTTTTTTACTACAATCTATAAATTTACTTTTAAATAGGATGTTGGAAGCCTGAACCAGATGAAAGACCAGATATTGTTCAAGTAATTTCCGAACTTAATAGTATTGATTCTAAAAGTCATTTTGATTTTAAAGAAAATGACGACAATGAAATAATAGAAAACGAAGTTGATCTTTCAGATTGTGACGTTAGATTATATTATTAGAAATATCTTAAACGAATAAGTTTAAGCAGATGGGATTGATTCTATTTTTGAATTATCTTAAAAATTTTTTTATTGTTTATGAATTAATTGATTTCTTTTTTTCTTTATGTATTATATTCTTTTGAATCAAATCTCATAGATTTATTTTAAATTTTATCTTTGCTGTTAATAAAATTGTCTTTTAGAACAAATGAAATATATTTTTTCTTAAATTTGATTTAAAATATAGAAATTTCACTTATAAAATAGGCCTTTTAAAATTTTTATTGTTAGAATTTTTCGCGCGTATTTTCGCATTTTTTGATCATTGATTATTTAAGTTTGTGTAGATAGTAATAATTAACTAAGGAAGTTTTAGGAACTCAACAGTCGCGTCTTCATTACTACCATCGACAACATGCAAGATTAAAAAAGTAATTATGTGTAACTAAATTGATTGGATGTTAGCAAAAGCTGAAGAATATTTATTTGGCCAATTAGATACACTCTTTTTTTTTTTTTTTTATTTAAGCTGTGCAAAATAAAAATAAATATTCGTTTACGACGCCCCGAAGCGATCGAACCCCAAAGTATAAAAGTTTTCGCATTATTATACTTGCAAAGCGGCTCAACCTGAAATGAAAAGAAAAGGATGAAGAATTCAAAATAATTTGCTATGCTCTGAACAAAATAAATATATATATATATATATATATATATAAATATTGTCTTGCTTATTTATTTCTTACGGAACCAGGAAAGAACTTATAGAAAATACGATCGAACCAAAACTAAAAGAAAAAATTAGAAAAGTAAAAAAAAATAAACATAACACCTGATCTCTTTTCTTGCGGAAATATGAAGAACAAATGTATAAAAAGAAAAGTGCAAAATTCCAAGAAATATTCGAACTCTACACGAAGCTATCGAAAATGTAACTAAAAATAAAAATGAATGAAATAATGAAAGATTCCCTTACCCATATTCTTATGGAAGATGACCTAACCTAGAATAAAATCCTAAAGATGAGACGAAAATTTCTGAAAAAGGTAGAGGATTAATTGGAAAGAACTTATTAAATAATAAAAACGAAACTAAGGTAATCTCCACTGATAAGAATTATTAAAACAGTTATTTCACGGGAATTTTTATGAGTATCATGATTTTCACGGCTACGCCACGTAGTCCATGGAATTCCGTGAAATAACTGATACATATAAATTAAATTAATTATAAAATCTATAAAACCTAAAAAAATATAATTATAAAAAAATCAAAAAAATATTTTTTAAAAAATATTTTTTGCAGAGCATTAGGCATAAAGCATATCCTTTATTTAGTAACCGGTCTAACTAAAGTGTAAATCTGAAGAGTTTAAAGGCTTAGAATCGATATTATACTATTATTACAATTATTAATAATATGGGTGGTATGCTATTAAAATTGAGGCGAGACATAGTAAATCATATGATCCGTAACGTGATTTTAATAGCTCCTATATATCCATTCTATTATTGCTAGTGCTCCGAGCCGGTCGAATCGACCCGGGTCATTTGACCCGACTTGAGAAAAAATTCGAGTCGGGACTATCATTTTATGTCACGAGTCCTAAATTCTTAAAACCCGTCGGGTTAGTCTCGATTTTGCTTGACCCGGGTGACCCGAATGATCAGGTGATGCTGATATGCGAAACTTTTAAAATGAGTGAAACTATCGACCTTATTAATTCAGATAATACAGCTTCTCTTGGAAATCGAAAATAATTGCGAAGCGAACTTTTGCCAAAGAGCTTTTGAAGAGAAACTTCTTCCACCAGAATATAAAATTCAAAAAACACATTGAGAAAGTTAGATACTGTATCTTAACTACTCGTATCTTTTTTAAATAGAGTATAATTTGGTATATTATAGGTTGAGTATTATTTTTTTTTTAAAAATATTAGTGGACATAAAACGTGGCTCCGCAATATTGATGATTCAAATACAACAAAATTATGTCGTTATTTAGAGCGCAATCATCCAAATAGAAATGAAATTATTTTAATAAACAACGAGTGTCCCTGTTGAATGATTTTAGACTCAAAACCGCATTTTTGTTTTCGAATTCCTGGAGCCAATAATATATTTTTTACTTTCGGTATTAATATTACCTTGAAATTCGAGTCGAATCCGAGTTAAACATAATCGGGTCGGGTCGAACAATAATCGGGTCGAGTCGAATTCGGGTCCTGTAAATATTAACGGGTTCGAGTTCGAGTTTGCTTCAAACCCGACCCGACCCGACCCTTACGGATCACTAGCGCCGATTAATATGAAACATTTTATAAACATGTATAGTTTGAAATCATGAACTGTGTAATTTATTATATTTTATCAGTATTTTATTAAGTTATAATTTTCAATATTTCGTATTGGAGGTAATTTATTTCAAATGATTATTTATTAAGATAGCGATTGGGTCACTTGGAAAATTTTAAAAAAATATAATGATTAATATAAAGGTCAGGGTATTATTACAGGAATCCTGTCTCAGCCGGTGCGCAGTAATAGACCTAAGGTCAAGAGAAATTTCTAATTTTACTTTCTAATTTTTTTCCCTATAAAAGTGTAAAGCGAAATGAACGACAAAATATCCTTCAAGCAATCGAGGTTGGTGGGGAATGCAAAATATATTTAAAACAACTATCATTAAGGGTTGAAATGGCATTCTGACGGTTGGAGAAATGTTAGAACTTCCAAATTCGATCGTAACTGATGCAAATTGCCCATCACAACATGATTTATTTATTTCGAACTTAGGTAACTTCAAGATAATCTTTAAAGTTGTTTATGACCGGGTTCTGAGCGAGACTCACAGAAAAGCCTAGTTAATTTCATCTTATGAAACGACAACTTCATATCTTTTACGAGTTTAGCGTCCTGTATAGCTAATTCATCAAGTTGCAAATTTATCTTTCATTACAGATTCTCTCAGTCTTATTGTATTACGTAACTTTCTATTGGGAACTCCCTCATTTAGTTTACATGGATTATACAACTTATACAACTTAATAAACTTAAAGTATCGTATAAATTCAATGTCTGCTTGAAATAAAATGATATAAATATTTCACACTAAAAAATTTACAATACTATTAGTCAAGAGAGAGTTCGTATGGGAGGGAAGGTAAATTATACATTTATTTTAATTTTTTAAAAAAATAACGTGACTAAATAATATTGGCCGGGAAACAAAATTGGCCAAATTGAGCTACATGCAATTTTCTCGATGACATTTTTTAATTAATAATATCATTGTAACTTAATCAAAAAAGGAATTCAAAATAAAGAACCTTTTAGTAGTTAAGGTAAGGTTTGACCTATTTTTTTTTTTTTTTTTAATATTTGCTGACGATTTGCTGAAGCCCTGTACGTCCTGCATATATAGTTTACTTACTCAAAAAGGAAATTCAAAATAAAATAAATCTTTAGTAGTTAAATTTTTTTTTTTCAACTAAAATAATATTTACTGGCTGAGAAAACGTACCTACAGCATGCATATATTGCTTATTCACATAACAGATAATGGAAACCTTGTCCTACGGGTTTGGATATGATTATATTTGATAAGCATGCACCAGTACGCCTTGCATATTAATAAATCTCTGTGTAAATTTTCTGTTGTATATAAGTACGATAAATTTATTGAGATATATATTAGAAAACATATAATGTCTGAAGACAGTGATCCCAATGATGACGAAATTAATAATATCGATCTAATTTCAATTGAAACAATTGATTCAATTGATTCGTTCGTTATTTCACCTAATATGAAACACATCGTAACTCATCATACTAATAATTCCTTGACTATATGGGACGTTGATATTGATGCTAAAACGGTCAATATCGTCAAATTAGAGGAAGATAAAAAGTTCTACAAAGTGATAGGAATTTCAAACGATAGATTAATTATATATCTATGCAGTGATGACCGTCGTTATTATATCAGAAATATCGAAACTTCTGAAGATATATCAATATTTTTGAAACCTCATTTTTCTCATTTGTTTCTCCTAAATGGAGACATTTTCTCTTGGTATCCTTTTGCTAAATTTGAAATTTCAAAAGCATTTTTAAAAAGTTCAAAAATATATTCATCATACAATCGAGTGTGCGCGGGAGGTCTCGAAGTACTCCAAGTTCAAAAAAATGAAATAATTTTTGTTCAAAATGATTATGTCTTGTATCAATTAAACACTAAAACAATGAAAATCGATAATTGCTATGAAATTCCTAATTGCAACCTGGAAATAGATTATTCTGAGAAAGTTGAGATAGCGGTAAATGAAGAAGGAAGCTTATTTGCAGTGTATTGCAAGGGCTATGTATTTGTGTTTTCAATGATGAATGGAATTTTAATTTCATCAAGTGAGCAAATGATTATTAAGTTTATTTAATTTTTTTTACTATTGTTTGACTAACCAATTATTCTATAGGAAAACTCAAGGGTTTTTATAATGATCCAAAGATACAATTTTTAAACATCAAGGATACTGAAATTTTGATGTTGCATATTAATAAGGATTCCAAAATACTTTACATGATTATGTCACCATATGACCTTTCATATATTTATGAGGGTGTTAAGGAAACCACTCATGAAATAACAAATTACATGATTATAGAAACATTGAAATCATCGCAAATTTTGATTATGTTATTTACCGGGAATCAAATCAAATTTATTGATGACATTGACGACTTTAATATTCCTGTGGAAAAGTTAAATGATCATTTGAAGCATGATAGAAACTTATTTCTTTATTCAAGTTTCAGTGAAATCAAAGATATTATCAGAAATTTGAGAGAGGGTCAGATCCATAAAAAGCTCCATTGTGAATGGAAAATATTGAGATGGGAATTAGATAAAGGTTATAACTATACGTTGAAAGTTTATAAAATAGGTCAAAACAAAGATCAGAAGGGAGATACGTTAAAAATTTTTCATTATAATTTGGAACATCTTCAAATTTTAAA